CTTGTTTTAAAAGCGGTTTTCTCTGATCGTCTTTTCTTGGTGTGAAATATTTGTGGGCCCCACGGGTTATATCATTCTGTGGATCCCTTCCCATGTTCCTGAAAGGACACCCCAGCAGGTTATGATGAGGATTTTTTAAAGATATTTGGCATTCTGTTTTTGTATGCAGGCTTGATTGCTGATATAGGGTCTCAAAGACACGGGACAGGTGAGCGAGTGGCAGTTTTCTGGTAACCATTATTCCGTCTAGACTTCGGTCTTTGCAAGGAGCACATTGCACATAGCACATTGTTTATACAGGCCCCCATCTAAACCAGCTAAAAAGCTGGACTGGGCCAGCCTGACTAAATAAATGGATAAATATCAGTTCTCCTTGATCATTCTAAAGGGTTAGAGTTCTGGTTACCATGCAATACGGGCAATGTTAGCGAAGAAGGATAATGTTTCGTGGTCTTTGAGGAGCATTGTTTGTGTCATTTCTTCCATAGTTTTCTCACATTACTCCCGTCCACACGATTATGGAAAAATTGGCAATGTTTTATACTAAAAAATGTTGTATTGTTGCTTATTTTAGTTTCAGTTAGGTTTAAACTTTTCCAAGTGTTAAGTGTTATTTGTTACTGTTTATCAAATTTTACATTAGTAATCAACTGATTTTCAACTCTTTCATATAACTTTCCAGTCTATACAATTTTCTGTTTTTAGTTAAATGTCCAAATGATGGAAACCTCACGACATACAAAGGAATATTGACGAGTCCAGGATTTCCACAATCTCCGTATGAACCGAGAACAGTTTGCACTTGGATGATAACTGCGCCAAGAGGCGGCCACGTAAAACTTGCAATAACATCAATGGAGTTGGAGTATTGTTCCTTTTGCCGTTGTGATTACGTTGAAGTCAGGGACGGCCCAACGGCTAACAGTCAACTTATTGGCAGATTTTGTGACACAGAGAGAGCAAATCTTTACTCAGAAGGAAGACACATGTGGGTGAAATTTAGATCGGATGTGATACTTGAATATAAAGGATTCTCTGCCAGCTTTTCTTACGTGAAACTACAAAAAAGTGAGTTTGAGGTCATTGGTACTATGATACCACCGTCAAACAATGTTTATATAAGTACTTTGTATGAATAAAGGCTGATAGTTTCTAAAGAAACTGTTTGGGGCTGCGTCGGTGGGGGTAACGAAATAATTTGGATATATCAACAAAGTTGAAATGGTAAATTGGCCACCGTAACGATTACAAAAGCTGACGTTTCGAGCGTTAGCCCTTCGTCGGAGCGAATAGAGGAATTGTGGGTTGTGTGTGCTTTTAAAGGCAGAAAATGGAGCTACGTTATTGGTGGGAACATGGCAACGAGAAAAACACGAATAAATTAGTGGAATGAAAAGCGTTCGTTGATCCCTGTGGGATTTAGACTGCCGGTTTGAAAGATGAGCTTTTGTTCAAGAGTTTTACGGCTTTCCGTGCTACCTAAGTGTAAGGAAAGACCGCAGATTGCCATATGTTGCTTAGAATGATTAGGTAAATTAAAATGTCTAGCGACTGGTTTCGATGTGTCCTTGTCATTCCTTTCCACGTCTCGAAGGTGTTCTCGGAATCGGTCACCTAGTCTTCTGCCTGTTTCGCCGATGTATATCTTTTTGCAATAAGTGCAAGTTATGCAATAGATTACATTGGCGGAGGTGCACGTGAAGTGATCGGTGATCTTAATGGATCGTTTAGGTCCCGATATTTTATCAGTGTTGTGAATGAAAGGACACGTTTTGCATCGTGCACGAGCGCATTTAAAAGTGCCTGGTTGGTCATTAGTCTGAAAAGAACTTCTGACCAAAAAATTGCCTATGTTTTTGTCGCGTTTGAATGAAATGAGCGGAGGCTGCGAAAAGATAGTGCTTGTCTCTGGATCGTTTTGAAGTAATTTAAAGTTTTTAAGAATGATGGATTTAACTGAGTGGTTGTGAGGGTGAAACGTGAGAGTGAATGGAATGCGGTCGGAATCTTCCTTATGCGACGTTTGTAGTGCTGAATGTCGATCAATAAGTTGGGCGCGGTGGTAACCCGCTNTTTTTCAGGTCTGATTTTCACTATTGCTCAAATAGTGCTTTACTGCGAAGGATCGTGCTCATATACGTCTCATAACCGCAGTTCACACATATGTTTCATATGTTTGTTGTTGTTTGATTTATCATCTACGGGTTTATATCGAATTAATTTGATGGCCTGCTCCCAGTTGGCTTGTTAGCTCAATTGGTAGAGCGCTGCACTAGTATCGCAGAGGTCAGTGGTTCGAATCCCGTACAGGCCTGAAATTTTTTTCAGGTCTGATTTTCACTATTGCTCAAATAGTGCTTTACTGCGAAGGATCGTGCTCATATACGTCTCATAACCGCAGTTCACACATATGTTTCATATGTTTGTTGTTGTTTGATTTATCATCTACGGGTTTATATCGAATTAATTTGATGGCCTGCTCCCAGTTGGCTTGTTAGCTCAATTGGTAGAGCGCTGCACTAGTATCGCAGAGGTCAGTGGTTCGAATCCCGTACAGGCCTGAAATGTTTTTCAGGTCTGATTTTCACTATTGCTCAAATAGTGCTTTACTGCGAAGGATCGTGCTCATATAAAACTCTATTATATTGCAAAAATCTCGGATATCAAAATTACGTTTCATTAGCACTTTAAGTAAGTTTGCTATTGGAAACCAGATAAATAAGCAAAGGTTTTTAGTTCCTAATTTATATAAAGCAAATAAAAAGGCAAGTAAAAAGCAAGGCATAGCTGTCGGGGCGAGATTTGATGACTATATTAGATATTTTTTTCCAAACTGAAAAATCTTTTTTTAATTTTGCAGATCATTGGAAAAGTATGGCTGTTGGAATCGGCTGCACAAGTTTATTTCTTTTTGTTGTGCTGGTGTGGTGCTTTCTGAAGATAGCAAGCAATGCCGGTCGCTTTGTGGAATTCGAGCGAACAACGTCTCTGATTGAGCAGAATCCAACAGAATCTTCCATCGCGGAAACATGTCTTACTAACGACAGAGATACATGATGCACTGATCTGATTAAAGATACTTAAAAATAAAAAAACTAGCAAAATAGTCGGGATAATTTATAGTTTACTCCCCATGCGAGTGCATGGGCTGAAAAAAAGAGCTCTGAGCCGCAAATCACCCACCTACGGGTGGGTGCAGTCAGGCTGTCAGAACCAAGTTGTCTCACAATTACACAAGCCAGTAGGTCATGGGGTTTTAAAAGCGTATAAGTATTTTGGTAAAGTTCAAAACAGAATGGTAAATAAACAGGACATCCTGTTGGGACAATGGATAGTGCGCTGGACTGTTGTGCGGGAGGTCGAGGGTTCGAGCCCCGGCCGGACTAACACTCAAGGTCTTAAAATAATTGAGGGGAATTTACTACCTTTCTATAACTTCAAGAAATGATTAGATATTCTAGTCTTCTCTGATAGGAACGAATAAATGGAGGTCCCGTCTCCTGCAGGGTTGGGGGTAGGAGACGTTAATTTCCCACGCACAAGATTACTCCCTGGGGTGGGATGGTGGATACAAAGGGGTTAGGTGTCAATTGGAACGAAAGTTCTGTTCCTTTCTCCTGCCATTCCCGTGGCGAATGAATTAAATTCTAAATTCTTGAATAAGCCTTGTGTTCGAAAAGTCTCGAGTTTTCCTTTTCCCTACTTTTGTTGCCTTTTACTTAAATCTATAGACATTTCAATTTCCTCTTTCGTTTATTTTTCAAGGCATCGTTTCCATCATTAAAATTTTGCGCGCGTAGTTTTTCGCGCGGTCGGCCACAGTTGATCCCATCGCGCACGACCGACGTTTGACCGCAGTAATGTAACCGCACACATTTGCACAGCCACGGAACGTGTACGTAAAGTTATCCTAAAAGACAAATACAAAACCACAACAAAAGACACAGTCGATACCTAGGTCAAGCGAGGTCTTAAAACAGTCAACCCATCAGAACAACAAGCACTGAAAATATGAATAGTATGGTACCGCTGACCATCCGCGTGGTAGATTTGTTGCAATAGTCTCCAGTGCAGCAATGCACCTGACAGGTGTCTTCACCACGAGCCTTGCACGGATGTGCATCACATGCACTTGCACTCTGGCAACCCCGCTGGTAGGTTTCTTGTATTTGCCTGGAAGCCTTGATGTGCGCCTTAGCGCATCTGTTGAGCCCAAACTCTCTACCACACTGCACACGTCTCTTGTTCTCATCACAGTCTTTAAACGAGACTCGACTTTTGCAAAAGTAGCATTTGATATCTTCCCCTACAGGAGAAATGAATGTGAACAATTTATTTCATGTATTTCATCACGGCTCAGAGTAGAGGTGAAGGGTCGGAAATCAGCTGGTATAATTTAACTACGTCTCACCAATTTTGTCATTTCAATTCTATTTACCAAATAACTATATTTATCGTAAATGTCAAATCTGTAATTCCATCCCTTTCTAGAAAGGCCACTTCATTTGTCCCGGCGAACGGTTAATAAATTGAATCTTTGTTTATAGGTCCACAATAAGCATTTTTAACGAAAATAATTTTTCGGCAGGTGTTACAACGGGAAACGTAACTCTTTTTCATAATTTGGCAACATAATGTAAATTTAACTTCGCGCGCTTTTATGCATTATTACATATAAATATTATTTTTACCCCAAAGCATGGTTGATAACCATAGTTATTTTTGGAGTGTAAATGCCAATTAGTGGTGACAAGATATGTCAACATTAACTTAGCAAATTTCATTCTAGATTCTTTTTTCCCTTGTTGAAAAAAATATGAAAATGGCTTTACTCCTAACGAAATCTATGCAACAACAAAAACATTAACACCGTGTCCTACTCAGTGATAAAGGAGATGTCGCACGAAGCTTAGTTTCGATCAGAACGCAAGTAAATTTAATGAGAGAAATTCTTCACTTTCGAGTGATAAGCGATACTTCAACGCATTAAATGGTTTTAGAGGTCCAGTGCAATTTTAAACAAACTTTTCGTTGCACGCCAAACCGCCATTCTACTAAGGAAGGCTGGCCTCACTGAAAACGGTTTTTTCTTTGTACTGAAAGCACATTCCCATATGTAACAATTCGACCGAAATTTGAGAAGCGAATTTATCCGGTAGGTTAGCACCGTCGGACTGTCTTAGGCCCAGTTCAGACGCCGAACTTTTCATGAGCCGAACTCAATTTGAATTTGGACCGACCCAAATTATAGAAAGTACGTCTGCTGATTCAAACGCCGTTCTTTTTGGCCGTTCCGAATTTAGTTCAAGTAAAAACAGTCAAACTGCTTGCAAAATACATTATAACAATTTATGCATTAAGATCGGCAAATGAAAAGTGCGGCGCCTGTATTAAAGCCGTTCCAAAGGCGTTCTAAAGGCGAAATTCTCGGCCAAGCCATGCGGGAAGAACGGGTGAGCCGTTCCAAATTGAAATAGCCGTTCTAAATTGATTCGGACGCCGATCTTTTAAGGAATTAGGTTCGGCTCATGAAAAGATCGGCGTCTGAACTGGGCCTAAGACAGTCCGACAGTGCTCACCTGCCGGATAAATTCGCTTCTCAAATTTCGGTCGAATTGTTACATAACATTAAGAATTACACTTCACAACCAAGACACTTACCGGCTGTAGAAGCAAGAGAGGTAACCGTCTCCATAAGCAAAAATATCAAGAGAAGTTTCATAGCGGTAGTTTGTATTCCTGTTAATTTTTAATACAGCAAAAGGGTCCTTTCGATATACTTGGACGCGCGCTCCTGAGAACTAGAAACGAGTATGTAATCGAGGCTTAGAATACACTGAGTCTTATGGCTGCCAGCTCTGGTGCAGGGACTTTTAGCACTAAATCGGTACCTTGGCTAAAAGAATACTTAAAACAACGAGGCATTCAAAGCTCAGGAAAGCGTAAGGCTGAACTAATAGAACTTTGTGTAAAAAGTGAGGAGATAAAAGTCCCGAAAATCTCAGAAGAGGAAGAGCCAGTCGATCCAGCAATTTCAATGAAAGAGCAACTGAAAACTACTGATGAAGGGTACTTGACCAATCCGTTGAACAAGGAAAATCAGGCTTTTGATAAATGGACCCAAAATTTTTCAAACGTATCAGACTTTAGATTTCCTGATCATTTCAATTATCTTGTGGGAAAGGATCCCGGATATAACGCCGAAAGCCTAAAAAGTTACAAATCTCTTTTGGGATACAAGTTGTACTTCGATGGACACGTAGAAGACCTTCGTTATCATCCGCCACAACCTAGTACCAGTAGTTACAGTTATTTTGTGAACTGAAAGGTCCAAGACTGGTGATGGGTCTGCAACATATAAGGTTTTTTTTTTATTTTAAAGAAGGATGGAAGTGTACATTCAGCCTACTGCCCATGCAAAGGAGGGTATGTATTTTCATTCACAACTTTTACTTCTGAAGTAAGATAACTGTAATTAGCCATAAGAAGTGTAATGAGCCAGAAGTTTGAAATACATACGAGCTACAAAGCTAAAGAGAGAGCTCAATGTTTGCAAGATGATAGTAATGTTACGCTACAATCAGCTGATGAATTGCAGATAAAAAAATAACATCTAAGTCGATTAAATATCCATTATGTTGATATGAAACAACAAAAATATGCTATGTATTAAATGCTTTAATTAAAAAAAAACACCTAGCTAAATGAAAAAATAGAAATTAGACTTGTGTGGTAATATACCACTACTAATTTTCAGAGAAAAACAATTAAAGCTATTGGCTACATTTACAGTGCACCAAAAGCTTCACTCAGCTAAAGCATAAATATACAAAAGAAACAAGCAGAGGACTAAAACACACTTGCTCTTCTGATCATTTTATTTGTCTGAGAGTATTATGTGATAAATATTAGTCACATTGGTCTCCTTTTGATAGGGCAGATGGAGGTTGCCACCATATAGCTGCAGCACTGTTTGATCTGGAAGCAAGCATAAGATTTAATGATCTCCAGTCATGTACATCAGGACAGTGCATGTGGAAAAAGAAAGGAAAGAGAAATGAGAGAAGTTTGCCCATTCAGGACTTATAAACAAGTTGTGGTGGCTATGGTGTAACAGTAAAGGACTCCATAAAGCCAAGGGATTTTAATCCACTTTGTATTCCTTCTGACCCAACTGTATTAGAACAACAGTTCAAAACTGGGTTGCTGGAAACATTCCCAAGCTCTTCTGCTCTGCCTTTTTTGCATTTAGCTGAAGAACCAGGGCAAACAGAGGAAGAAATCAGGGATTTGATAAGCAATGATTTAAATGTCAGTAAGCATGAAAGTGTTCAAAGTGTTAATGTTTACTCAGTGAATGAATATGCCAATGTGTTTGTTTCTGTTAATAGTGAAAAAGTAACACATACAGTTTCTAAAGAATTAGCAATTGAATTCCTTGAGTCTATTACATTTAATGAGGAGCAAGCAGAAATGATTATCAAAAAGACTGTGAATCAATCCCAGTCCCAATTTTGGTTTGATCAAAGGGCAGGAAGAATTACAACTTCCTCATTTTACACTGTGTGCCACCTCAGAGAGAGCACAGACAGGAGAAACACTGTTAAGCATCTTATGATTTACTGTCCAATTGCTGAAGATGCACTGCCACAACAGTTAACATGGGGCCATGAAAAAGAGAAGAAAGCACTAGATCTCTAAATTAAAAAACAAAAGAAAAATCATGACAAGTTGTCAATAAAAAACAGTGGACTCATAATAAACACACTATGGCCCTTCCTGGGAGCCAGTCCTGATGGTGTAAGGATTTGTGAGTGGTGTGAGAAGAAGTTAATTGAGGTTCTTCCAAACCCTTCTAGAACTGTTCTGAAGGGTAACAGAAAAACGAAAGATCTGGACGATTCGTGGAACTGTTCAAGCAGTTCGCCACAGAACAAAAGTTCACCATAACTTCGGAAAATAATTGTAACTTTTACATTACAGGCACTACACCTGTCTCTGTTTTTAATTATTCCCGCCCGCTGTCCTCTAAGCCTCGCTTACATGTTCGTTTCTAGATCTCAGGAGCGCGCGTCCAATTATATCAAAAGGATCCTAGACGCGGGTACATCACAACGAAAGGCAGCACCCACAGAGCTAGAGGTCAATGAATACCTTAACTACCGCTAATGTGGATGATAAAGGCACAAATTAAAGTCGCGTCCTTCAAGTAAAAAATCATTTCATACAACTATATTTACATAAATTCCACTGTCGAAAAGTTGTCAAAATCACGATGCAGTCGTGGAATAACCAGAAGAGTTTGTATCGTTCGAATTCCGTCACGTTCTGTATGATTCAAGGGTACCGAGCCAAGACAACAGAATTGTTATGAAGTTCTTAGGATGTCAAAGATAATAAATGAAATATCAAAATAAACGCGACAGGTAGCCCCAGGGAGAGTGGGGTGCTACCTGCATAATATAGGCAATGAAGGTGTTTGCCACCCCAACCCTTGAGTGGGTATGGCTTTTGAACCGTTTTCGTCTGGATAAAGGGTTAAGATTTCGAGGAACATGGTGTTAAATCCCGTGTGTAGACACGTCTGTATTGTAACTGTAATTTGAATAATTTGCACAGAACATCCTTATTATCTTCAGAATAGTAGCACTACTACTCAGCGAAACCACCTCAATTTTTAGTTAGCTGTTTAAACCAGTAAATTATGTAGATCCGATGATAAAGTTTTTTCAGTTCTTGCCGTACGTGACAGTACAAAAGACGATAAACATCCAAAATAATTTTACAGTGGCATCCACCGACGCATAATTGACATAAAAACTTTGTCTCCCAGAAATATCTCAATACGCGTGATCTGCACAGCATGTTAGATTTGAAAAAAAATTTTCTCTTTGAAAAGGGAGCATTTTACTGTTTCAGTCAGCGACCTATGCGGATAAAGGACATAAGGGCTGATAACTTTGCGAGGCGAGCAAGCTGCGAAACACGATACCTTGAGTTATTCAACAGGATGATGGAATGGAAGAACGGTGGATCGGTGGATCGGTGGATCGGCGGATCGGTGGAATGGCGGAGTGTCTCGGGGTGCAGAATGACGGAATATCCTAAAATTAAAGTTACAAAAGAAGGAATTACAACAAAATAAAAAATTTCATTTTTATTATTATCTATATTTGCTTTAGTAAACAAACTAAAGTTTTGTCGGTAGTAAATCTAGATAGTCGTGTAAGGGTATTTTAATCTTTGTGACACTATTCTGCATTCAATTTAAAGACAGTGCGTGCAAATAACATTTATTGCCGCCTTGATTCCTTCGACTAGTTGGGCAGAATAAGGAAATTATTGGTTTGTTTGTTGAAATCTTAGCTCAAAAGAAGGAGTTTTAAACGGTTCTAAACGCGAAAACTTAATCGCATTTGGAGTATCTTCAGTTCTGTAACCAATATGATTAGCTATTTTTTTCCGATAAATCTGCTCAAGCTGTGTGATGTGGCATAATAATCAATTAATTCTAGATTACTTACGGATACTCAGTTTCTAGAGTTCTCACCGAAGCGTTTAATCATGACCCTTACGCATTTCTTTAAACTTTACAATATTCGGAATTGCGAAAGAAATTGATGTTCGTCATCATCGTAATGGCCTCAGCTTCTGTATTCCGCGATCTGTCCTCTGACATTTCTGGAATAAAAGATGTGATCTATCTCGAGCTTTCCGAGAAAGTGAAACCGAATAGTGCTGCTGTAAACAGATGAAGTATAGGAAGGGTAAATAGGAAGTTGCAGGAGGGATCATATTTGACATGTTTGAAAATATAAAAGTCCATTTGTGTGGCGCCTGTGAAGAATGTCATGAGCAAGCATGTTGAAATATTGATTACGAAGCATCATGTTTTTGAACCCGTCGCGTCACATGTTTGCATGAACAAGATTTTTTTTCAAAGCTGGGAGCCACTGAGGTTATTGCAATTTCCAAGTTCTTTGCTTTACTTAGCTAGACATAAAGGTCAAGATTCTTTCCTGTTCCATCCATGATGAACAGAAGAATTAACTTTGTCACCTCGATTCTCCTCGAAATTATTTCTTTGTCGTGCTTTTAATTTTCGTTGCAGCGCATGCATCATAAACTACTTCAAAAGCCGAAAAAAAAAAAACCGACTATGATTTGTTCATTTCATTCATTCATTCTTTTATTCACACTTATTCTACTAAAAATACAACAACGAGAAAGAGAAAAAGTAGAAAAAAAAAAAAAA